CTAATCACAATGGAGGAACGGACCGGCGACCACCGCCGACCACCGCCGACCACGCAACAGCCAGAGCCTCTAACGGAGCATGGAGGTTCACACAGTGCTGTACCTGCCACGAATTCTGTACACGTCTCGGTGTGTGTTGTCTCTGTATGTGTTGTCTCGGATGATCTGTGTGTTGTCTCTGTGTGTGTGTTGTCTCGGTGTGTGTTGTCTCTGTATGTGTAGTCTCGGATGATCTCTGTGTGTGTTGTCTCTGTGTGTGTGATCTCTGTCTGTGTTGTCTCGGTGTGTGTTGTCTCTGTATGTATTGTCTCGGTGTGTATGGTCTCTGTGTGTGTGGTCTCTGTGTGTGTGATCTCGGTGTGTGTGGTCTCTGTGTGTGTGATCTCTGTGTGTGTGTCTCTGTCTGTGTGATCTCTGTCTGTGTTGTCTCGGTGTGTGTGGCGGAGGCGGAGGCGGGAAGCGGGCGGGAAGCGGGATGAGACATAGAAAAGAAGAACCCCACACTAAGATGTGGGGAAAAAAACAAGAAACAGACCAACCAAGACTTGAGTACCACAACGACAAGAAGTCCAGCTATTAACATCTCTCCAAACCTTCGACCCTATCCCTAACAGTGCCCCTTTGAAATCCCTGACTTGCAACGTGTGACAACTATGTTGGGCAGCTGTTTTTGTCTCTACCAACAACAACAACAACTGGTGGCAATTGGTTGGCGTGACAATTGTTTGATGATGACAATTGTCACCAACCAATTGCCACCAACTAATTGTCACCAACCAATTGTCATCAACCAATTGTCACCAACCAACTGCTACCAACCAACTGTCCCCAAGTAATTGTCGTCAACCAGTTGTCATCAACCCATTGCCGCCCACCAATTGCCACCAACGAACTGCCACCAACCAATTGCCACCAACCAATTGCCACCAACCCATTGCCACCAGGAAATTGTCACCAACCAATTGCCACCAACAAATTTCCACCCACAAACTGCCACCAACCAACTGCCACCAACAAACTGCCATCAACCATGTGTCACCCACCAACCACCAATAGTCCGCTCCTGTGTCTGGTGAAGTTGTGAACATGTGGGGTTATCCGGTCCTATAATTTTTTTTGAGGCAGAAGCTCAGCAAACATCAGAAATCTGACAATGACAATTAATACGCATGAGACCTCAAAACATTCTTCTTTGGTGCCCTGGCTGGCTTCTAGAACAACGTATGCCCAAGCATGCAGAAAGCGTCACCGCCGAAGCTGAACTCTCATGCTCTCTGCAGCTTGCACCAGCATGTCAATGTGTAGCCACCTGCTCTAGCTGCGCAGGCAAGTCTTCTATCAAGTTTGGTCACAGAGCACCAAGTTGACTGATGGCCTCCAACATCTTAAGGCAAAGATTTCTGGGTACGACATTATGGCCCGCCTTGTTTGTAGTTTGCATGCTATCGTTGGTTTGCCTCCTGGTTTATTCTCCTAGAGTTTGCATGTCCTTGGATGTTTCACCTTTGCCCATCAAAAAGCACTTAGCTCACATCTCCAAAACATGAAGAATCCCATTATACTTGCTGAGCATCACTCAAAGAACAGACTTGTAAAGCATGACTCCACCTTGGTCCAAGAATCCTCAATGACCAAGGTGCCTGCATGCAATCGGGCTGCTGTAATCGGTTGGACAAGGTGCTTTTGGGGATATACAAGATGTCGAAGCTGCATCCAAATCTCCTTCAAAGTTCACCCTGTCCATAGCAACTTGTCATACAGGAAACATCTGGAATCGTGGTGGCTGCAAAAACTCGCAGAGGTTTCCCTGTCATCCGCAAGTGGCGGGCTGAGACTCTGAAGAGTTCTCTTTCCAAGGAAAACAACGGCCACAGCGGCTTTTGTTGATGCGAATATTGAGACTCCATGTCATCCATGCGCTTGTGTCATGCACTTTCTCTTGTTACCAGCAGTGGGCGCATCTCAGGCAATTCAGTACTGCCCACAGCCTAGAAGCAGGCGGAACGGAGAAATTCTACTTTGCGTTGGCTCGTGGTCAGGCAGGGCTTCGTGACTGTGAGTTTGTCCGATTTCAGGTTTCCTTTCTACAACACAGGTGAAGATACCAACAACAACACAAGAAAGATCACCTGCACCTTGGAAGATAACAGTGATGATATTAAGATTTTCAAGCAGAGCAGATTGAGACGACAAAGCCAACAAAGAATTACAATGTGGAATGCTTGAGCAAACAGCACAGTGGAAGAGGAACATGGTCTTCCTAGGACTGGATTCATGGACCGGACGGGCCTCCCTCAAACAGTGCGCCCGCGCTTCGTAATGTTGTTCACTAAATGCCTCTTGTCCCTTTTCTGTTTGCTGAAGGACGAGGTCGGATTCAGATTGCCATACGGTTCGACCAGGACCAACTTTGATTCAATTGATTTGTGGTGAATGTTGCCATTGCTTTCAAAGATAGAGTGAGTTTGGCGGGACTCGCAGTCAAAGTGGAAAGCGTTCCCATACAATGATGGTGGCATGACTCCGGGACAAGATGGCAATGAACGCAGTCGAAAAGCCACCGCAACAGGAGGAGAGACTTTGAGTTTGTCGTAGGTTGAGGCCGTTGGTGCTTCTTGCTACTGCAAGGTGGAGATTGGGATGAGGATGGGGAACAAGGTCCGCTTGCAGTGCTGCATCCTCTCCACACTGCTGCGTCAATTGTTTCCTTTGTTTCAGACTGGTGAGTGAGGTGAACCTGCAAACGTTCGACTATTTGCTTTGACCTTCTACGATCCGATCGCGTGGTTCAGCAATGATGCCAACGAGAAGTGCGAAAGACTACCCTTGTACTTGCGAGGAAACCAAGTATGTGAAACCATACTAGAAACATCCAGAAACACAGCTCAAGGTTTCCAGGCAGGTCTGAAATGAAATCTTAGCGGCTTAGCGAACCCGATTCATGTATGATCATGTATGCACGCATTAAACGACCCATCGGTACGGTAAACGTGTCGAAATGCTGTCGACAGCCTCAGCCCCGTGACGTGGTTGCCCTACAGCCCAAGATCACGGCAGCCCCCGAGGAGAGAAGAGGAAGAGCGAGCTCGGAGTTGATCAAGAGCAAGGCATGTCAAACGGGGTCGCAGAAGCCCTTTTTCACCTTATTCCAAGGCGGAGCAAGCAGAGAGGTCAGAGCAAGATGCCAGCAGAGACCTGGAGTTTCACGTCACCGGTCCGGAGGAGCCCATGGCTGGGCGGCGTCCTTGTAGCAAAGAGACGAAGATCTCCGTCCTAGGCCGGGCTACAGAGCACAGATTGAAGATGAATGAAGGATGGATTGAGAGATGCACGTATCCAGCTCACCAGAACAAGGAAGACATGCTTTGGGGCGAGAGAGCGAGGATCAGGCAAGGTGCCCGCTGTGGAGGTCGAGCTGGAGAAGCTGAGGACAAAAGCAGAAGCGATGAGAGACAGAGGCAAAGGAAAAGGAGGGGAGATGAGAGCAGAGGACGCGGGAGAGACTCCTGGCTCGTCGGGAACCGAGGAGGTGGGAAAGAAGAAGAAGAAGAGGAAGAAGAGGAAGAGGAAGAGGAAGAGAGAAAGCCCAGGGTCAGAATGGAAAGAACCAAGGATGGCAAGGACAAGAGGGACGGAGCGATTTTTAAGGCAAGGACAAGAAAGTAAGAAAGACAAGAAATAGAGAGGTCCACAGCAGGAGAGACTCGTGGGGGACACCCTGTTGCGAGGCAGCTCCCCTGCAGGTGCAGTATGGTGCTCAGCACGAGGCTGCTACAGATTCATGTTTGAGGGTGCAAGACTCACCTGTGGCTGAGAGAATTGCGGGGTGCTTGAGGACTTCAGCTGCGTGCGTGAATGGGGGAGAAGCGTGTCAACGCAAGGACGGGTGTGGGTGATGAAGCCAAGTTGGCGAGGGGCGGGCAGCCTGCTTTAGAACATTTCTACCTGGACAACCTTGGTTGAAGAAGGCAGAATGCGCAGTAGGTAAAGGTGAGTTCAAAGCGCCAAGAACGCAGTGCCTCATAAAGAACCTTGCGCCTGACAACGTAGCGCGCCGGCCCCTACTACTGGAAACCCTACCAGGTATAGCTGGAATGATTGCCTTGCTGGACACGAGGACACCCGCTCCTACTTCATGTGCTTTAACCAGGAGGCGCATGTCCACCTAGCCCCGCTCATCTGCAAGACGTGCGTGCTTGTGTCGCTGGCAAGTAGGGGGCCACATCAATCTGGATAACTTTGATGTCTTGGAGAGGTGTTGGTGTACTGTTGCTGCAGGTGCAGCTCCTGTGGAAACCCTTCGTGGCTTACCAGGACATAGGGGCTTTTTAGCTTTCCAAAAAGGGTGGCCGAGAGAGCAGCGAAGGGAGAAACGCAGGCTTCAAGTTGCGGTTGTTTGTGGTTTGAGCGTAAGCAGGCCTGTGACAAGGGCCGCATCAGGCGGTCACGGTTTGTTGTTCTTGGCGCTCGCTCAGTCATCTTGCTGCAGCGCATCAGGACAGTAGTAAGCAAAACTCTCAAATCTCGCTTCTTGTTTGCATCTTTCTTCTGCAACCAAAATTGCGGTTGTCTCACAAATCCCGTTTCCGTTCTCCTGGGAGCCGTCCTCCTTTTGTCCTCTTCTTGCGCTCCAGTTGGCCTGCCGTTGTCCTCTGGCCGCGCTGGCAGACCCTGTGTCCTCCTTGTCCTCCTGTCCTCTGGCCACGCTAGCAAACCTTGCGTCCTCCTCTTGTCCTCTTGGTGTCCTCTTGTCCGAACTGCTGTCCTCTGGCCGGCCTGGCGACGGCTGCGCTACCAACAACATTGGAGTTCAATCAGCTGACGCAAAAAACGTTGAAGTTGTTTGGGGTCTATGCTGGCGTAATTAACCGTTCCATGCCTTTGACAGAAACCTATTGGAAAATAGCATTTTCAACGGCAAGAACTTAAGGACACCAAGAACTGCCAAGGTATTGCACCATATACAAGCATGTGCAGGCAACTAATTGTCAAACCCAAAGGTGTCATGAGTTGAATTGAAACTTGTATGTGGCCGCGGTACTGCACGATTGTCATTGACATATGACTTGTAAAGCTTCGACAAGCATCGAAAAGGGACAGGATTGGCATTGTTGAATCTGTTAGTGTTTTGCTCTCGTTGGCTTGACTGGCCGCTACTTGTGCTGGAAGCTAAAACACAGTTTGGTTCACGTCACTGTTTAGTTAATTATTGCCGCTGCTGGTTCAACTAACAAACAAGGCTGCCTTCAAATAGGATTCTGATCTGGTTCCGCAGATCGCACATTCTTGTACAACCAGCAGGTACACCCTTCTGCGTGCGCAGATCATTTCCGGTGGAAGCCTAAGGTGAATTGTAAAAAATTCAGTCATTAGATGTTATTAGCATAGACTTTTGTTTTAACACAGTTATTCTCATTCAGTAAGGATAAGTTGCGACAACCAACAAAAGTCGTGCCCGGGTTCAACTAAAAAGATCATGAAACTGTATGAAAGTGTTCATTAGTGCCTAGTAGCGAGGTCCCTGCTTCACCATTTTCCCTCCGTGCAGCATGTTGCTGTCCTACAGGGTCAGATGTCAGCTTTAAAAGTTTGATTCGATTGCTAAAGTAGATGCTGCACAGCCCGGACCAGTGTTTTGTGGCCAACAGGCTGAGCACCAATGGGAACCCAGAACATGTTGACTAGTGTGGCACTGTGTGAGGTCGTACTCATCAGATCAGGTGTGAGCTGTGTTGGCAAACTGTATTTGACACCTCCATGTTGCCAAGTGTTTTCCTTGAATTGCTAGTCTTCAAGTTATCAGGTTTCATTGCTCTGAAATCGGTCATCCTCTTGTCGCCGATGACCTCTACGGCGCACCGTTGGCTTCCCAGTGTGCGCATGTCTCTCAAATCCACTTGGACTGTTCAAGCCCTGCAAGCTTGAAGGCAATCTGAGCGAGACTGGGCCAAGAGAGTGTTTCTACACTCGTACCAGGCAACAAGATTGTTTGTTTCCAATTGGCCTTTCGTCTCACATTTCCAGACCAAATTCCTGGAGCCCTTCTCCGACAAGTGGTATGAGGCAACATTATGAAAAACGATTGCAGAAACCTCAAAAAAAGGTGATCATCTGGGAGTTTTGCCTCCCACTGATGCAGGCCGTGTCTCCATTGCCCGAAGACCTTGGGCAATTGCTTGCAGGCTTGCAGTTGGATCGCGTAAAGGCCTGGATCACCAAGAGCACCTGTTCTGCTTAAACCTACATTCAGTCAGGATAGAGGTTTCAATGTGTTCATCAAATGTTTTGTTTGATCCGGCCTGGGTGAGCTTCCAGGAACGGTGCCCACTCTTCTTGTCAAGAAGGCATTTGTTTCATGCCTCACCATAGACTGTCAAAGTGTACCCACTGGCAGGAAGCACTCACAGTTGCATAGGATTTTTAAGTCTGAGGCCTAGTGAAATTGATTACTTATTAGGATGCAGGCTTGTGTGAAGCTCTCTGAGGCCGTATGACCCAGACCAAGAGCTGCTACAAGTGCACGCAGCACCATGGAATGCTCGAGAAATTTTGCAGGCTGAGTTGCGGTGGAGTTTTTGCGCTGAGTGATGTTGAAATGCAGTGTTGCGTTTGTTTGGATCGTTTTGGGGCAGGAGAAGATGAAGACACTCAGTGGCCGAAATACCCCAAGTTGGGGAAATTCCACTGCTCAGCGGCAGCCCAACGAACCAGACAAATTCAGCCAGAACTTGCAGCGCTGGAAGTGGGAGGACCAATGCTGGGGTGCTGACCTCTCTTGGCGTGCGACGAGCATGGATGAAGATGAGTCGTGGGGAACGTGGGAGTCGAAAGGGGCAGAGCCAGAGCCAAAGAGGCACATCGCAAACGAAGAGTTTAGTTTGAGCAGAGTAGTTTTGGCTAGCAAAAACACTGTTGTGCGGGTGGTTTTGTTGGTCAAAAACGTTGATGCAGTATCTCAAGTGAGGTATTGTTGAGTCATCGATAAGATAACAATGTTCTTCTCATCCATCTTGCAAGTCCGTCTAGACAGACCATTCTCAAACATCACATCATCACGGCGTAAAAGCACTTCCTTCATAAACGCAAAGTTGGCCGAAAACGTTCCCCACTTGCTCCCCATCGAAGGCAGCATCGGGGGTCATAACTACTGTCTTCATTTTCTTCTCGGGTCCATTGTTGCTCCCGGCATCACTGTTGCCATTCAAGTCTTCCCAAAAACAATTTGCGAATATTTCAAGAACCAGCGAGAGAAAGATGCAACAATGCAACACGAAGCCTCATTGACACCACCAAACATCCGGCTCACCAGCGAGACATCGTGTTTACACATGTATGATCATGTATGATGCTTCCCGTTCCCCGATGCCACGCAAACACATTTTGGACTAGATACAAGAACGCCGGCTCTGAGCCCGAAGCTCCCAATAGGTAGTTTGTTGCTACGAAACACTCAGCTCTCACACCTGAACTCCCGGAAGCCCCTCGGCACACTTAATTACATTTGTAACACAAAGCCGCCAGTTCTGACCCCGGAGTTCCCAGAAGTCACTTCACGCACTTTGTATGCTCCCGCACGCTACATGTGCACTACAAAGCCCCCAGCTTCGACACTGAAACTCTGAGAAGCCTAGATGCGTGCCGCATAACCACGAGTTCTGAGCTCCAACCTCCCAAAAAGTCACTTTGCATACTATATACTATATACCATATACTTTATACATGCTCTGGACCCGCCCCAAATAACAATTTTTGAGGACTGACCCCCACCTCCATTTCCATCATTTTCAACTACTTTTGTCCATTTGACATGCACGACTCCGAGTCATAACTCCTATAGAAGGGCCGCCACGGGCGCGCAAGTTTGTGTCTCACTGCAGTTTCGTGCATCCGGCGCGTGCGATTCAAGGGCCACGATTCCGGCAGAGGGTTACGTTTCGCAAGCCTCGAGCAGGCCGCCTTAAGAGAACTACCAAAGAATGTCGAAGTTGGAGTTGGAGGCGTTATTTATTTTTGTTATGTCTACGCCTGAACCTCTACACCTTTGTCAATACACGCACTTGTGCATACACCTTCTCGCGCACTTGTATATATAATCTTCCAAGCTCTGGATCTCTGGGTTTGGAGACTTGGATTTCAGAACTAATGCTCAGCTAGTTTGGCAAAGTTGTTCAACACGGTCTTGGCTTTCGGGCTTTCAGGTTTGGCAATGAGCAGCAACCGTGTTTTGACCCCGTTGCACACTGACCCGACCCAGTGTGCCACCCAGTTGGGTGGCATGAGATGGTCTTTGGGCGGAAATTGGTTTTCTATGAACCTTTAAACGAGGAGACCACCTTGTCAAAAGATTCAGGGGATTTGTAGAAGAGGATCGAAACTTGTAGCTCCAGATAAAGGAGTTACTGTAATTTTTTCGAAGAATGAGATCCGTCTGAAAATACAGCTATACTTTGTCACTTGCTTTGTCGAACGAGATTTGCAGGATTTGGAAGTAGGGTTCGCTTAGTACGTAGTGAAGGGTTCTCGTCTATAGTGCTGCGCATTTGGGAGTTGAGTCGTGTTCGCTGGAAGTGGACTCGGCAACACGCCCTGCCGCAACCAATTCGCATGTCATCAGCAATTTCCATGCCAGCAAGAAACGCAATCCGACGAGGTTTTGCATGGATGGACAAGGTTCTACAATTCGTGGGGACTACCGTACTTGTAGAGCCGTGTCCTTTGCGCATTTCGCAAGGCTTGCAGTTTTCCCCACCGTGCTGGCAATTGGCATTGGGTCCCGAATGAATGTCGCCGCACCACGACGATTTGCTGGTTGAAGGCTTGTTTCGAAGATCAGATTTCACCTTAAAGCTTTGTGAATTTGTGAGTTGCTACTTTTGGTTGACGCCTATCGTGAGGGAAACTGTTCAGGTGGTGGGCCGTGGGGTGCGAATCGCAATGGAGGGGATGTGCGGTGTGAACCTGTGGTATGTTTGACTGCTGCAGTGAAGGGGGACCGTTTTTTCTGCGAAGTGAGGATCAGCGCTGCGGGTGAAGCAAAATGGCTGTTGAAGTGGTGCATGTTGTTTTTCAACACTCCAGTGTTCAGAGCCTTCGGTGGTACCACCGCAGTGGTTCTCTGCCACTGCCGCTGCCTGAGTTAGCATCGACGAGATTGCCATGCAGTAAATGGGTGGTTAATGTCGTACCCCACTGGTGGCGTGCAAGTGCGCATGTCTCTACGCTCAGGCTTGTATAAGAACAATGTTCATACATTTTCAGACTAAGCCTACTGCAAGATGTGTGGACAGAAAATGTTGTTTTCAAGGATCGCACATTCTTTTCTAATCTTTTCGGTAAATGCAACAGCGATGCTAGCGAAGAGGAAGATGTCCTCCACAGAAAGGATATGAACAAAGGTGTTATTTTTCCTGTTGTTGCCTGCTAAAATCTTCACCACAACACGAAACCTCTCTCAACTACGGCGCTATGACAAACAGTAGAACGATAGATCGTTCGGATCAGTTGCATGATGTTGTGTGCTACATGTTATTTTTGCAATGTATAAACGGAGAGAGGCTTCGCATCTTTTGGCTGCTTTGGCAATGCGCTCGACACACCCTGTGCAAGATTCAATTGTGAAGCAGGCCACGCCTGGAAATACCTGCAGCAGAGCCTGCCAATGCCGGCCAAGTTCCTTGTACTCCTCCATATCCAGATGCCAAGGCCGCTGCTTCAGGAAGCGCCAACTTTTTTGGAGGAGGTGGGTGCGTCACAATGGCAGCGAAGGGAGTCCACGCGCCAAGTTGGTCTCCTAGGATTGTTGTGGCTTTTTGTGAAAAGTTTCTTGCTTTAAATCCAAGAACTGCAAATTTAACAACTATTCACTATTTGCATGGAGGCTGGAAACATTAGGCTGGATTCTTCTATTGCTACAGCAGAAACTCGGGAGGCCCAGCCAAAGCACACAAGCAGAAAGGTAGAGTACAGCTGGCGCTTTGAAGGTTGAGCCACCACCTCCATGGGAGAAACAGCGCTCTCGACAGGATCTGAATTTCATTACTTCTACGGGACCGGACAGCTCTTGGAAAGCCAGAATCGGAATGTTGAGGAGTTTTGATGAATGTACAAAGGTGAGCTTATGAACATGCGATCCTACCGAACTAGTGCTTAAGTGCCCCACCTAGTCCCAAGAACTCCACAATTTGTGTGACAATCTTGCGCAGTGCCATCTCTCATCCTCAAAGGCACATCCAATTTTAGAGCTCGGGTGGACGTTTCGGTTGGATTTGGCACCAGCACATGCGCCTTTTCGTGCTCCTCTTTCCAATCTTTCTGCCAGCGCCAGGCATGGTGATTCGAGCGAGACCTCTGTGGAGAAACCCGAGATAGTCTGAGCGCGGCTGCAAATTCTCGCGATTGATTTCGCTTCAACTGGTTCTTTGCCAGTGGAATTGTGCCGACCTGAAGGCACCTCTTGCATGCAAGGCAGATGTACTGTTGTGCACAGACAAAGCTTTTTCCAGACTGAAGCGGCACATTTTGCGGTTCGAAAACCTTGCGAACATGGACTGCCTTCAACCCCAAACAGCCACAGAGAAAGTGGTGTAAAGTGCGCTCAGTGCAGGGTGTTGCAACAGGTTGAGCGAATGGGCAGCCCTGTCTCAGATGAAGGGGCTGCACATGTACCGGTAGGAACTGGCCGCACGCAAGCTTCCTAGGCGCACAAGAAAAACGGCAGAAATTACAAACGGGAACGGTGGCAGACGCAAGCTGATCGCTTATATACTTTGTTTGGCTCTCGCGAGTGAAACATGAAACTGCGCTGTATAGGCGTAGGCGGTTGGCAGATGCCTGAGAAGTTGCGTGAAGATGCTCTTCAGCATATGGACTGGAAGAGGCCCCTTAGCGCTCATAGCCGGATGTGTCGAGAAAATATTCTTTAAAGAGAGCGGGCAGTTTTGGCAGTGCGCTCTTTTGGCACCACCTGTGATATTTGCGAACCATTTTCCATGTAGAGATGTACAGCATAACTAGCATCATGTCAGTCATTTTCACCTGACTGCAGCCCTTTTGTGAATCAAGAAAGGTGCGCATGGTAGCGGAGCTGAGAAGGAGGTAACCCCTCTGGAGCTCTGAGTGAAAAGTCCCTATGTCACTGGGATCGCGGGTGCAATTTCGAGCCATAGGTTTGGGGATGTTTGGGGCCTTTGGAACCCAAACAGCTGGACTGGTGAATAATTGTTGTGAGCAACACTCTGTACCCAGTACATTGTGTCCAAGAGACATTAGCACAAGAAGAAGATGGATGAGATCAGAGATATCCTTCAAACTATAGCAAGCACGCTGGCAACAACATCGGCAGCTGAGGCAGTACAGACAGCAGTTGCAGACAGGAAGTCGTCAACAACTGACTGACTGGTCAAAATTGATAGCAAAGCCCAACATCTTTGCGCACAAGTCACAAGAGGAAGACATTAAGTCATTCAGAGAGTGGTCATGGATCTTTGAAAAGTACCTGAGCGCAGTGGATGAGGGCTACATTAAAGACCTGAAACAAATTCATGACAATCCAAATGACAAGTTGGATATGGACTTGGCAGAGGATGCAGAGAAGACCAGGTGTATCATTGTTAGCTTCATTGGTGAGAGGAAGGGCGCTGCAATTGGTGAAAGCTGTGGAAGATTCCAATGGGTTTGATGCTTGGAAAAGTTTGAACAAGACTTTGAAACCAACTTCAAAGGCGAGAGGCTTGGCATTCTTGGGAGCGGCCACTACATGGCCAGCATTTTCAATGAACAGCGCACTACAACCTCAACAATTGAAGCTTGAAGAGGTATTTGATGAGACAGTCAAGTCAGGCACTACAATTCAGGAAGAGTTGAAATCTGCTATTCTTTTGAGATGTGTCGGTGGACAACTCAAATCCTGCTTGAATTTGACCATTGGCGACAATGTTCAGTACTCCAAGTTGAGGGAACAAGTGTTCGAATGGGTTCGCTCTCAGCAGAAGTGGGCTACTTCCATCGTGGGGAGTAGCAGCGCAGACTATCAAGGGACTATGCCAATGGAGGTTGATCGAGTCCAAGATGCCCAAGGAAAAGGTAAGAACGGCAAGAATGTCCATCAGAAAGGCAAAGGTAAAGATGCTGAGGGCAAAGGAAAGAAAGGAAAAGGAGATCAGAGAGGAAAAGAAGGTGATCACAAGGGCAAAGGTACAGGCAAAGACCAGAAAGGCAAAGGCGTGGCAACATGTTACACTTGTGGAAAGCTACAGATTGTTGGAGGAACCATATTCGACAGGCAGCAAGTGATCAAGCCCGTTCATCTTCAGGAGGAGCATCAGCGACAATTCATACAGTTGGTCATGTGAGCCAACAAGGGAGCTAGCTCAGCAGAGACCAGACCAGTGGTCAGGAGAATTGAGAATAGTGAGCCAATCATCCTTGGCTTGAGACAAGGAGATGATGAGCTAGAAGATCAAGGAATTCGAGCGATTCACTTCTACATTGGAGATGATGATGATGATGACCCAGAGTTCCAGGAAGTCGAGGAGATTGACATCTCAGACGATGAAGCCATGGTGAGAAGACTTGGGAAGAGAATGAGAATGCGGCCATCATTATTGACAGTGGAGCTGATGAAGCGGACTGCTAGGTTGGAAGCTTATTGACTTCAAGATTTGTTGCTCCCACAGTCATTCCAGAAGTGGAAGAATCACCAGAGCTGATGAGAACCATTTTGGTGAAGAGAAGAGGTAGATGGCCAATGCCTGAACATTGTGAGAGCATGATGAAAAAGGATGAACTTGATGAGCAATTCTTTGATGATGATGCAGCCATTCCTTCAATCACAATCTTCAGCTATGAGCCAGCACCACCAGAGGATATGGGATTCTTTGCACCAGGATACAAGAAGCTTCGGAACGGAGAACAGAGAAGGAAAGAAGTTCAAGAGGCCATGGAAGAGATTACCCCTACCCCCCAGGAGAAGGAGGTAGAAGGCCAGAGAGAGCAGGAAAACAAAGATGAAGACCTTGAATGTGAACTTCAAATGAGCCCAATGGATGTAGACAAGTCTTGGTGACTGGAGTAGAGTTGACTAAAGATTCATCTTTGGCAACTCTGAGGGCAGCATGTTCATTTCTGTGCGTTTCAGGCAGTGGCTGTAAGGTGAAGGTCTACACCAAGATCCTCATTCACAACAAAACGATGCAATTGTTGAACGCCAAAAGCTTGGTGAGCGAAGCAAAAGCTCAGGAGACGAGAGAGGCATTAGGACAAAGCGTGGCAAAGATGCCAGATGAGGCAACTCAAGCAAGGCACAGGTTGACACACATGCCATATGCCAATGGTTTGAGGAGCGCATTGAGCACCGAGCGCGTCCAGATCGCCATGACAGAACAGATGGAGTAAAGAGGGGAAGTATACCTGAGGTAAGCTTTGACTTTTGTTGCTACACAAGAGCAAGAGACTCAGGAACAACGTCAGCAAGAGCAGTATGTTGGCTAGTTGCAATTGACATGTTGGGCCAGTAGGAAGCAAAGGACACTTTCGCCTAATTGTAATTTCAGTCAGCTGTGGCGTATTCAGCTATCACAGACAGGAGTGATAATGAACCCACAACAAGACAAATCTTCAAGACACTGATCAATGCTCGTCACAGTCTAGGACTCACTACCAAGTTGGTAAACTCAAAAGCTTGGAGGTCATTCATTTCTGTCAGAAAACACAGTTGACAGGGTGAGGAAGCTTGCAGGAACTTTCATTGAAGGTGTGCAATCAAGACTTGGTATCAAGATTGGGTCAGATCATGCACTTTGGACTCGGGCAGCAAGACATGCCAGTTGAGTACCCCATAGGTTTTAGCCAATCTGTCAAAGGAGCAACTCCTTATGAGCTCAGAGTTACAAAGGACTTCTAGCAGAGTATGGTGAACCAGTTCATGGTTACATCAAAAGCTTCAACAAGGGAGAAGCTAGATGGCATTTATGCTTGTTAGTTCTTGGGATTGCACTTATGCCATTACAGATGGAGCGCAGGTAGTGCTCAGCAAGTGCATCAGAAGAGCAGATCAAGACTGGTCCAAATACTCATATACAAAAGCTTCAATGCATTTTCTTGGGAGCGTCAAACCAACTTTGGAGGCAGAATCATTGCCACTAAGAGAAGAGCAGAAGCATTACCAGCTGCGCAAACAGACATTCCTCGAGAACATGTGATGCTTAAGTTTAAGGGAGATGCTGGAGCAGTCGTGGCAATGGCACTGGATGGAGCAATTGATTCAGACAAAGAGGAAGCGTTATTATTCACACCGCTTCGCGGTCGAAGCCGCCCGCACGGATCAAAGGGAAAACGCCGAGATGTCATCTACTAGGACAGACATACATGCAGACATTAACAACTTGTGCTCGCGGAGCCGGGAAGAAACGTGCTCATTCTGTATCGAACTTTTGCGCGTGATGTACGATATCGATGACCGGAAGAAATCGAGCGCACAGCGTCGCCGACGCATATCTGGTGTAAGTCCTTGACGTGCCTGCGCGTGGGGGAACTCGTAGGAGTCTTGGAAGGGTGTTTCTGTATGAAGCATCCCAATAAGATGCGTTCGCTGTAAGACGCGCGATGTCAATACCACTCCGCCAACTCCGTCTTTCCCCCCACCAGATGTCCCCACCAAAACCACACGCTCGACGTCAACCACATCATCCAGTCGGACCAGGCACGCGACCAAGCACATCCACAATATCAATAGTACAGCGTCCTCCGGTTTGCCCAGTCGTCGATAATGCGATCCCTCCCGGCCGGCATAACCGGCATCGCCAACGTTTGGTCCAATTTTTATCCATATTCCCTTTTTCGCTGCAAAACACATCATTTCTAGAAGAAAAAATAGGCGCCCCCCCCAAGCTAAAGCTTAAGATTGAATCTCGCCGATTTCTTGCGATTCTTGCAATTGCCCAGAGCCTACACAACGCCCTCGGCGCCTTCGGCGCGGGCGGATTTCCAGAGCCAATAGAGATTCCAGCGCCGCTGGAAATCCCTGTTGATGCAATGAAAAGAGATGGAGAAGAGGCGCCTAGTAAGAAGCAGAGAACTTCACAGATGAGAAAACCTTTGAGAAGATGAAGCCACTTCCTTCAATTTCCCTCTCCATCATTGCCAGCAGGACAGCCCAACCCAATTACTTCCATGGCCCATACTATCTTCATTGAGATCACCATCAGCGCCATCGAGACCAAGGGAAGCGCTTGAATTGATCGGGGAGGAAAGCCCAATGAAGAAGCTAAGGCCAGCAGATGATTCAAGCAAGAAAGCCAAGATCGACATGGTGAACGTTGGGGGAGAAGATCTTTACCATGTAGATGAAGAGTTGTCCCCAGTTGCAGAGGAAGTTGATGAGGATGAGTGGGGTGACGAAGATGAATCAGACGTAGAAGAGATCAATGGACCTGAATGCTTGCGGCGCAATGGAGAACATGAACCTGAAGAAGATCCAGAAGAGTGGATTGATAGAGTAGCTGATGAGATGGAAGAGAAAAGACGCCAAAGGAATCAGTTACTTAACAAGAAATGTGTATGACTGGGGGAAGAAACCATGTCAGCTTGGGGGTTGCACTTCAGTCAAGAGGTCGAGGAGAAGGCCAAGACTAGTCGCAAGAGAATCTCCTTTCGCTGAAGGGAAGAGAGATGACATTTTCTCACCAGCGACTTCAGGGCATGTACTGAAGCTTCTACCCGCAATATTCTTGCAAAGGATCAGTGAAGAGGAAGAAGCAAGAGAGGGAGAAGGAACATTTTCACAGATACTGGGATGTCTTGACGTGAAAGATGCATCCCTACAAGTTCCACCACAGGAGAAGCCATTGCAGGTAATCCTGAGAGGAGAAGAGTTCTTGG